TTAGAGAAAGATTAAAATTAACCAATCCCAACCGCAGTTATTAAACTAAGACTAATTCATTTTTAGAGAGTATGTATTTAGAACTATATCATATAGTCTATATGTAACCTTAATCAAAATAATAAAACGCGATTTATATATAGTGCGATGTTCAACTTTTATTTGTAATTAAGTGAATAGCTTGTAAAAATAAGTAAAAAACTTAAAAATTAAACAAATGTATGCGGTAATTTTACTTAAAAGTAATAAAATATGCGTTTAAAAAAATTAAAATACAAATAGTAGTTATTTTGTTTCTTAATTTTGTACTTCACGGTATTAATTTAACAATGTTTTATTTTTTCTCTTCAAAGCACATCCAATTAAACTGCGCACCGCTTAATGTGTCGCGACCAAAAAGTTCGTTCTTTTTTCAAAACGACATAACTTTTTTATTTCTTAAACGCTTTTATTTTGGCCTGTGATGTTTGCTAACCCCATCCTCTGGCAATTCATGCTTTAGATATGAAGCCCACGGTTCTTCAAGTAAATTTCCTACAGGGTGATATGTAAAACGGTGAAAAATTTCAATAACTTCATCCAAGTCCGGTTTGAAAATGGTATATTGTTTTATTAGGAGTAAAAGCATGACTTTTTGTGGCGAGACTGAATTTCTGGCGAGCCACAAAAAGTGCTTTTACACCGAATAAAACATGCTATTTTTCCGCAAACGGTTTTCAAATGAAAATTTTATAAAAGATAAAGAAAAATGTAATTCTGTGGCTTAAAGGTTGTCAGGCAAAAAAAAATGACTTCCCTGTGGTCCTACCACCGGTCATTGGACGCTTTTCACTAGACAAACAAAAGAGGTCAAATAAGAGGGGAAGAGGCCATCCGCAAAAATTGATAAGTATCCTCAAGCATATGCATGACCTAACACATAATTTGCAAAATAAACACGACAGATACCTTTTAAACCATAGAAAGGCACACTGCTTAAACTCTATAGAAAAAAAACAATAAACATCAGTAACAATAGAAACATTAGAAAGACAATACTAACCAGAAACCATAAAATAATAAAGAAAAAAGACAAACTACAAAAAAACAAAACTTCCCATTCGAACTATCGCGGTGATACACCAAAGCTGAGTAGGACAATAAATCTGTCAACAAATGCGTAAGGCATGAAACCCAGTAACTTAAAGAATGGCCCCAACAAAACAACGTTAATTTTAACCCAAACGAGACCAATAATAAACATTTGACACTATAAACTAACACTCAATAAATCATTAAAACCCAAACATAGTAAAAACAGCATGCTAATCAAACTCTATTGGATTTGTAAACATATTAGATTATAACAGAATAATTGCGCTTGTCATTTGTTTAACTAATAAATAAATGCAAAACTTAATTTTGTAAATTAAGAAAAAAAGACAAAACAATTCTACCACAAAACGTGCTAGGGCAACACAATAACTAAAAAATTGTTAGAAATTTCGCACTAATGCGGCAATAAACAATTTAAAAAAACATCAAAAGCTACAAGTTACATATCCAACTACTGAACTATCTATTGATGGTTTTCGGCCTCAAGACTGAAGACACATGTGCAGGAACAATCCTACTTGGACACGAACAATAACGACAAAAAAGTAGTCCAAGACGTAGGCTTCTGCAGCAAAATAACTCCCGAACTCCATACAGTAATCCCAAATGTTTGGAGTAATACTAACTGTCTGGTCTAGGGGGGTACCGCGTCGTATTTAGATTTGAGTCGGGGTAATTGTCCCCCAAACACCAAAATATCTATCCCTCCCGTCCTACCTCCTTCATGACCCTACTGGGCGTATAGCATCGGCTCGGCAAACCCGGGAATGGCTGCTAAAACTATTGGCATTTCGCTCTCGAGCCCTAATTAGGAGACAGTACGGGACGCAACCAGCAAACACGGGTGAAGCCGTTGCGGGTGGCGAAAGAAAATCGGCGCAAGGAAACAGAGGTCTTATACTCATACTCATAACCTAAATTCCTAAACTGACATTTGTATTTATTCATAACCAAACATTATTTATTTTTCAATCTCCCACTCTTGAACTGCACGTCCGCAAATGGTAGAGAATAGCCAGCCTCCCCTTAAAAACGAAAACAAGGTCATTCAAAATAAATGAAATAAGCGGTATATGTGTGTGTTTTAAATTAAATTTTAAATGGGGTTTTTTAGTTTAAAGTCATTAATATTTTAAGGGTAGAAAAAACTAAATAAAATTAATAACAACAAATTACATTTAAATTACTCAATTGTCCTATTTAAGAATAAATTAAAAAAGTTATAGATACCTTTTTTAAAGATATGGGACGCGCTCCGAAAAAAGAGGCCTAATTTTTTTACGCTTAAGGTCCAAAAACCGATATGATCGTTAATTAAATACTGTTTCTTAATTATTTAAAGTCGGAAATAAGTTTCCTTGGCAATTTTAAGTGGACTGTATGTATTAAGTTTCCCGCTGTTTTCCTGGGGTTTGACATTAACGTGTTAAAATTCACATTAAGTTCTTCACAATTAAAATAGTGGGCCTACACTTACACGTATAGTCCAAACAAATAATTTTTTTGTAAAATTGTTTAAATTTTTTTAAAAATACACTTTTTTTATAGCAGCATTAATTTATGTTAATTATCTCGTTTTCCGTCCTCACTGCCCTTGCGGTCGTGCCATTATGTCTTATACCTTCCCACTCTTCGCGTGTTTACGCCGTAGGTACAGTGTGTTGTCCGATCGGACAAGTACTACAAGGTGAATATTTTTTAATTTCGATATCTTTTTATTTGAATTTTTGGTTAGTAATTTTTGCGCGAATATTGTACTAATACAAATTGCAGCAAATAATCTACTAGTACTACGAGGTAAATATTTTTTAATTTTAATGTCTTTTGATTTGAATTTTTGGTTTAATAAAATTGTTCTCCGAATACCACTCGAGTAATAATAATAATAACTTTATTAACGGATCAACCAGTTACAAATTACAATTTTTACAATAATAATACTTTTAATTTTCTTTTACAGACAATTAGGGAACAATCGAAAAAAACTAAATTTAAATCGTTTGCTTCAGAACCGATTCTACTTAAAAGCATAAATTTACTATAAGTGGTCCTATGGGTCTTTATATAAAATAAATGGTGTTGCCTTGTATTTTTTAAAGAAACATTAAAATTTATTTATTCTGGGCAATTATTAAAATTATTCAATAGTTTATATAAAAATACAATTCCAAATTCAGTTCTTCTCTTACTTAGTTGATCTAAATTGGCAACACTTCTAACTAAATCTAAAGAATAAGCACATTCAATGTTTAGTTTGTATGTGCAATATCAAAAATTTATTTTGTAGGTACTCTTTCTAGTTCAATATAATAACATAAAAAGGTGACCAAACAATACAACAATACTCTTAAATACTGCGCACGAAGGACATATACACATTTTTTAAGCATTGAACATTTTTAAAATCTATAAGACTTCGTTTGACAAATCCCAACATCTTTAATGATTTATTAACAATAAAATTGACGTGATAGGAGAATGTTAGTTTACTATCAACATAAACACCTATATATTTTATATTAGTGAATCTTTCTAAAAAAATATTACTCAAAGAGTACGGAAAGGAAATATTTTTTTAAATTCTATAAAAACTAATATATTTACACTTATTAACATTTAGGTTCATACAATTTTTTTCACACCACAATTGTATTTGATTAAGATCTAACTAAATATCACAGCAATCCTTAAAAGACTTAATTTTTTTTAAATAATTTTAGATCGTCTGCAAATAAAAAAAATTTGCAACATTTAATATCACAGCCTATATCATACTCTTAAATACTGCGCACGAAGGACATATACACATTTTTTAAGCATTGAACATTTTTAAAATCTATAAGACTTCGTTTGACAAATCCCAACATCTTTAATGATTTATTAACAATAAAATTGACGTGATAGGAGAATGTTAGTTTACTATCAACATAAACACCTAAATCTTTTATATTAGTGAATCTTTCTAAAAAAATATTACTCAAGGAGCACGGAAAGGAAATGTTTTTTGAAATTCTATAAAAACTAATATATTTACACTTATTAACATTTAGGTTCATACAATTTTTTTACACCACAATTGTATTTGATTAAGATCTAACTGAATATCACAGCAATCCTTAAAAGACTTAATTTTTTTTAAATAATTTTAGATCGTCTGCAAATAAAAAAAATTTGCAACATTTAATATCACAGCCTATATCATTAATAAATAAATTAAATAGCAGAGGAGAAATATGCCCACCCTGTGGGACACCAGAGGTAACCCTAATTGTTCTAGACTTATACTGATTCTAAACTATAACAGTTTGAATTCTAGAATGTAAGTAACTTTTAAGCCATAGATAAAAATTTCCTGTAACACCTAATGCCTTAATTTTTGCTAAAAGAATTTCATGGTATGTCGAATATTTTGAGGACCTCAAAATATTCGAAAAATTGAGGTGTGATATTAAAACAATATTCGCTATATCACACCTTAAAATATTCGGCATATATTTTTGATTACTCATAGTACTATATATAAATATTTTGCATGTAACAACGCGCTAAACATTATCCGTTTGTGCATCCGTCTAGCGCTGTAGCCTGTCCTTTCCTTTCTCTTTTAAAACTGGGAAGCTCAGGTCCCTTTTCTCGGAGCGCGTCACATGTATTTACGTAAATCCTGTTACAGTTAAATTGAGGTGATATTAGAACTAGATAAGAAGGATGTACTCGGTTAACTAAAATCGCCCTGTCAGAATGTGCCTAAAGTAAATGTAATAATTGATTAGTGTGGTGAAATAGAGCGAGGCCTATAAAATAATCTCAAAGGTGCCCTGTAGACCATAAAAAGTCATGGCTGTCCATGTCTTGGATATGTTACCTTACATCTTATAACTTACTTAACAACTCTTAACTTAACATTATCTATAACCAATAACCATTATTAACCATTACTCATTTCAATGAATGTTAATTACCTTCCACTTCCATCAGAAAGAACTGCATATATTCCATCTTGTAACAAAAAATCAGTGGATGAATCAGTCCAAAAAATATCACCATTACTTGCTACAGCTACAGAATTGGGAATTTTTGGTTTATATCCGTTAATTTCAATATCTGTAGACACCAAATTAATTTTTTTACCTATAAACAACGTAACATAATATAAAAAATATATGAAAAATTTCAAAAATACCTGATTGAATATTTACTTTAAAAATTCCATAATATGGGTCAGCTACAATCAAACTTCCATTTTTATCAAACTGCATTCCCAAAGGTCTTCCGCAAATTTTCTCCTCAAAATCTTCCTCACAAGGTTTTCCCAGTTTTACTATAGGGACCACCTTATTACCTGTAATATTTACCACATACCCACCATGGATTGAAGCGTACAATGTCCCATTCCAAGAAGCAAAAGACTCTGGACCATATAAACTACCTTTAAGCCACTTTTCTGAATATTCCAACTTATTGTTTAATGACAATTTTCCTTCCAATGGCTTGGGATAATCAACACTTAACAATTTAAAATTGATTGTAAAAACATATGTATAATATAGATTTTAAACTTACAAATATGGCTGGGATATTTTCGAATAAGAAGGTAATTCGGATATAACATAAAGTATTAAAACAAACACCAGTGTATTAACGACTAATTTTTGCGCAAGTTTTAACATTTTTTACACAAGTTAATTTTCTTTGTAATAATCTTACTTAAGTCCTTAAAAAATATATATTTGTAAACCAAGTTTGTGGTCTGAAACGTGAAAGCGATTTAAAATATTTTACATTTAAGAAATTAAATGAACAGATTCCACGCATATCCTGTATTACAGTGGCGCATTTATGAATTTTCTTTTGAAAGAATTAAGGGTTAAATTATCGTACAAATTAATGTATTAATGTATCGTACATCAACCACATATCGTAGGACGGATTAAATTATAAATGAACAAATGATATTTATCGTACAATTCACATCGCTAAACAAACAAGTATTTAATATTAAAAGCTGGCCAAAAGTCGGAATAAGATAACTATATAAATATTAAACGTTATTTTCTAATAATTTAGTCAGTCTATAGCCATTTTGGGTTCCCAAATAATAATAATAATAATAATAATAATAATAATAATAATACACTTTAGTCGGAATTTATTGGTCGTTTTTTTGGGTTAACTCCACACAAAGCTTTGTTTACGCTTTGTGATTATTTTTGGTATATGAAATGATTATTTTTAGTATGAATTTGTAAATTTAAGGAATTAACTATATTTTAAAGTAAAATTTTTAGATTTAATATTAACATTCATAACAATTAATAGTTAATAAAATGGTTAAAACAAAATAACATCATTTTAATTATTTTTATACAAAAAAACAAAATTAGTGTTTTAGTAGCATTGTTGATGCAACATCTTTGGTTTATTATAATATTGGGTACCTACACCAGCTATTACAAAAAAGAAACTGGACATCCTTGCCCCCTTTTTTAAATTGCTTTTTGTATCTTGGGAATTTAAAAAAAGTACATTTTTTTTGCTGAAACCAAATAGGAATTTTAAACATACATTAAAAAGTATACTGCGAAAAAAAATATATTTTTCTTAATACTGTCTAAAAATATAAAAAATTATTTATTAAAATTTAATCCAAAGGAAATACATTATTATAAGTATTTTTGATTTTAATGGTATTTATTTTAATATTATATTTTTTCCATATGATAAACCATACCGATTCGTTTAAGAATGCTTGTAGAAACTTTTATGTTCAAACTACGTAAAAGCAATCAAGCATGGTGCACTTGACGATGTCTCTTTAAGACTGATCTACTAGCCGAAATGTGCCGTCTTGGCTGCATCATTTTCAATACATTCAATATATTATATAAATGAAAAAAACTGGCTTGGATTTTGGAATTAAATTTATTACCATTTCAAACGAATATTAAAATTTTCTGAAATATTTGGAAGGCGTAATTTTATATTTTATTATTTTATATTATACAAACTACGATTTTTAATTATACATTCAATATATTATATAAATGAAAAAAACTGGCTTGGATTTTGGAATTAAATTTATTACCAAATGTTTCAAACGAATATTAAAATTTTCTGAAATATTTGTAAGGCGTAATTTTATATTTTATTGTTTTATATTATAGTTTATTATAACAAACTATGATTTTTAATTATCGTGAATTTAACCCGAGCAATGTGGGGCCTTAGCCCCCCCACCCCCACGTAAATACGCCACTGCAGTTTTATGAATATGTAATGTAATTAAAGAGTAATTAAAATGTTTTAATTAATCATAGACATAAAGTCAATTATATGTTTTATTGTTTATTTACTAGTATTTACAATATTTAATAATAGAAAATAGCATACAACAGTCTTTTTAATTTAAACTATAACTTCCTTAGATCTGACCTCCATATAAAATAACAAAGGTTAGATATAAATATAATCATAAAACAATAACATTGTTCACTTGGTTATAGAGGTCAGTAAGCAATCATTACCATTCCTCTGGATTTAACCTGAATGTGGAATTGGTGCTGCGTATAACTTCAACGGCAGGTCCAAAGAAAGGCATAACATATGATGAACCATCAGCAGGACCAACTACTTGTGTGGCAATCAGAATAATATCGATTAACTGTCCCAAAAACATAAAACCCAGTGTGAAGAATTTTGCTAGGCCTATTGCTGGATAACCCAAATAGAATCTATCTAAACCAAACATACCAAAGAATATTGATAGGAGTAGGGCTGTATCGAAATGGTATCCATTGCTAAAAAGTTTTTGTTTTGTTACCAATAAAATAATTTAGTAGGTTAGTGGGCTAGTTAGTAGCAATAAAATAATAACGTTTAAAATTTTTTAATTTTGGCTATTGATTTGGAAATAGAATAAAATTATTTTAATGTTGAAAAAAATTTGAATTTACTTCAAATTAATAGTTTGTTTGGCATTAGATTTAAAATTAGCAAACATTATAATCGGGTTAATGTCTTACAGTTCCTGTTTTCCATATAGGTAGGTACCTATTGCAATATAAAAAAATCCACTGGGACACTTAGAAGTGTTGGAGAAATTAATAAAAATTATTTAGATTGGATCAAAGATACTACCCTGCCAAGAAATTCACAATTGAAACCAATAAAAATAGGAAATTGGTTTTAATACGGATTGAAACCGCATTAATATGGATTGAAACCGCATTAATATGGATTTTTACTATTCATTTGTATAGGATTTTAATACATCCTTATTAGTTTCTAAAGATATCCTTAATATGTTTCAATGTCATGCTTACTATGTTGGATATGCATTGGTATATCGTTATGCATTGGTATATCGTTTTGAATTAGACTTTTATTGTTTTCTATTGTTTTCAATTGGGTCTTTCCATTTCGAAACGACCGGTACGCGCAGGTTATGATTTGCTTTTTCTATGAAACCTAAATATGTTGTTTTTTGGTCGAAATAATTTTTGCGGTAAAAATCGAAAAAGCTTTTTTTTAATGTGTATAACTGGTTCAAAAATTGACCGATTTTGACAATTGAACTTGCAAAATGCTTGTACTTATTAACACTTTCCATTAAAAGTAAAAATTTTAAATTCATTGTGATAATTTGTTTATACCATAAAAAACGAAAAGAAGGAAATTTTTTAAAATTAAATTTTTCAAAAAGTGTAATTTTTATTTTTTTTATCAAAAAGTAGACAGTCCAAACTGCATTTTGGCTGAGGACTGTTAGCCAAAACTTTTCGTTAAGAAGATATGCATTTTGTTTTCAAATTCTATTTTTTTCCATAACGATCGCGTGCTGCTAAATAAATTTTATTTTTAAAGTAAGTTTTATGTGTAATAGCAAACAAATAAGATTGGAATTTAAAGTTCATTGTGGTGTAATCGTTTTAAGTGAAAAAACTTGGTGAATTATTTTGTTTAAAATCAAATTTTCAAGGCGAAATACATGAGCATAGACAAGGGATTGGCTTGGATGGGGAAGATTTTGTACATAGGTGCCATCTTGGTTTAGTAGATACTATTAAACCAAGATTGCCATGATTCTTATAGAATTATTGTTTGACGGATTGTTGTGTCATAACCTCATTTCATTGACTGTGTCAAGTCGTTACTTGTTAAATATATAAAACCCAATAAATGCAGATATAAAAAATACTAAATGATTATAACGCATTATTTTTCATTAAAGTTGTACATATAATATATATTATCATTAATCTTTGTAACTGATTGCTAGACTTGGGAGGCAGGTAATATACTTAATACTAGGAAATTCCCTGACTATATGTATATTAGGGTGCATCAAAAATTAAAATTTAATTTTGTTTTTCGCTCTTACCCTCTCAAAGTTTCTATTTAATATAAAAAAATTCTCACCAAATATGGGCGTTCCAGCTCAACTCTAACAGGTCGCTGTTTTTATTTTAGTTTCCCATTTAATTAACATGGGAAAAAATAATTTTATGTTTGGAATTTTATACATCTGTATCAAAGTAACTTACATTTTACCCTATCCTCTACCTACCCAAGACCGTCAGTACGTGTCGTAAGACACACCCTGCAAGAGGTGATGCTGCTCAATGCAAAAGACTGCGGATCTAGGGGACTTAACCCCGAACAAAAATGCCCAAATCCCCTAGTGTTACGTGACCCGTGCTAGGGAAGGGAAGGGACAATGGGACCTCTTAAGGTGTGGGCACCCCCTTGCAGTAAGGAGCCTCGCCAAAGCTAAGGTGTAAGGCAACGTGCTGAGGGCTGGATGGCCGCAGGGCGCAACATGCGGTCTTTAACGTTCCCCTTGGGATAACAGGCGACCTCCCATTGTATTTAGCCTTACTCACACAATCCGGCGCTGTGTGGGCGGACCTAGTTCCGGACTACTCGTGGGAATTATGTGGATACACCTATAAAATCTAAAGGCTCTCTGTAACGAGAGATCGCTATGCCAGGCTCTCAAGTGGGGACTGACGTGTCGGGCTCCTCGAAAGAGGGGACCTCACAAGGACCCACAAAGGGGACAGGCAATACCGCTTCCGGGACTCGCAAGAGTAACAGAAGCGGCGCAGCTAAGGCTAGAGCCAGGAGGCTCAGGCTCAAGGCACAGTCCATGGGCCCGGGCTCTGGCGAAGGCCAAACGCCTGCTCCGGCGCAGGGGGGCCCAAGGATCTGGGACGAAACGTAACAGATCTGAGGGAAGCACCCCTAAGTCGAAGGGGGCAAGGACGCTGGCAAAGAGGCCCAAGGCTTCCGGAGTAAAATCGGGAGGCCAGGGGACTGCTTCGTACAGCGCCGCAACGTCTGCTGGTCTCGGGGTGACCATCGTGCCGGGTGCGTAAAGGCATCATGGGGAAACTAAACGCCCACATTGATCTAATGGGAGGAGATCGATTCCCACAGTTTGAGCAGTTTCGCTGGTCGTCGCAGGGAACCATCACGGTTAAATGCGGAGACCAGTGGACGTTGGACTGGCTGGAGGGGATCATCTCCTCGATCAGACCATGGGAAGGGGCATCACTGCGCGTGCAACTAAGATGGTTGCAGCTGTCCAAGGTCTCCCAGACGACACCCCCACCATCCTTAAGCGACTCAACCGACAGAATCCTGGACAAATCTGTGGAGGACGTATCACCGGAAAGAGGAGAAGAACAGGGTTCTCCTGGTTTTTGGAGTTGACGAGGCTTCAGCCGAGGTCTTGCAACGACAAAAACTTAAAGCGTTCGCAGGGGTCTCCGTCGTCACTTTCATGACGAAGGCAAAGGCTTCAGCGGCGCCGGAGAAAAAGACGGCTCCAGCCGAGGAGGGTAGTAGCAATACTCCCTTATCGGAAGGAACGTCTACGCCCGAATCAGATCCGACAGCGACAGTGGACGAAGAGGTGGCCGAGCTCATGGCTCAGGTGGATGTAGAGGATACACCACCAGGGACAAGGGCTGGACCATCCGCAACCTAGAAATCAGGTCCTATATCCATCCTCCACCATGGATAAAGAGACCTCATTTCTACAGAGCAATTTGCAACATAGCAAAGGGGCGATTTCCTTAATAGATCGTCACATAGCTATGGGGCAGACACATATATATCTCCTACAAGAACCTTGGTCATACAAGGGTCGCGTAAGGGGCCTAGGTAGATGGGAAAGATCTCTCTTCTACAAGAGGGACGACCAACTAAATCCAAGGGCTTGTATCTACGTCGACAGACGGATCGAGTCCTCACTAATAGCTAATTTCTGTTCTAGGGATTTAGTAGCGGTGAAACTATGCCTTAAGGACAGACCAGGACATCGGATGCGATGCCCACGCACACCATACGGTGTGGGGAAGCACCGACACGAATCGGAGAGGGCTCAGCCTCTTAGAGTATCTACATACTACCGATCTGGAAATCCTAAACCGCGGCACTACACCGACCTTTGTCACGTCACGAAGACAAGAGGTGATAGACTTGACATTGGGCTCCCTCTCCCTGGCCCCGATGACAAGAAATTGGAAGGTGTCTGAAGAGCCATCCCTGTCAGATCACAGACACATTCTCTTTAGCTTAGACCTAACTCACGATGCTGGGCTCAGTAGGTTCAGGAACCCCCGGAACACTAACTGGGACCAGTATGTTGAGATGCTAAAGACTAAGCTAGTGGACTCTTCCATGACGTGCCACAGCTTTCGGCAAGTGGAGGAAACAGCCGAATTTGTACGGGAGGCAATCATCACATCGTACGAACGAAGCTGCCAGCTTCGGGTCTATCGAAGAAAAAAGAAAACCCCTTGGTGGAACTTTGACCTCTTGGCTCGCAAGGAAACCCGCAGGCTCTTTAACAGGGCCAAGCGGTCTAAATCGCCTGCGCTTGGGACAGCCACAAGCAGTCTCAGCGCAGGTACAAAGATCTCATAAGAAGGTCTAAGAGAGAATCGTGGAGGACGTTCTGCGGTAACGTAGACGAGCTTCCAGCAGCCGCCAGGCATCAAAAGATTCTCTCAAAGGATCCGGGACGAGAGCTGGGGACATTAAGGCTTCCCTCCGGTGACTATAGCACCAACGCGGGGGAGGCACTTAAATGGCTCCTGGAAACTCACTTTCCAGGCTCAAAAATCCTGCAAACTGTTGAACCACCAAGGCGGGCTCCACCAGCGGGCGTAAGACCGACTGAATGGAAGTTAGCTGCAAAGGTAGTGACAGAAAGCTCCATAAAGTGGGCCATCCACTCATTTGGATCTTTTAAAAGCGCGGGACCAGATGGCATATTTCCGGCTCTCTTACAAAAGGGACTAGAACCACTGACACCGCACTTGATACACCTCTTCAGAGCCTGCCTGGCACGAGGCTACGTGCCGCAATCCTGGCGAAAGGTTCGAGTGGTGTTCATCCCCAAGCCAGGACGTTGTAACTACGATACGGCAAAGGACTATAGACCCATCAGTCTATCCTCGTTTCTTTTAAAAACTATGGAGAAACTGGTGGACATATTTATTAGGGACGGGGCACTAAAAAGAATTCCCATGCATCCCAATCAACACGCCTACAGGACAGCCATGTCGACGGAGACCGCTCTTCACAGCCTTGTGACAAGACTAGAGAGAGGGACTCGTCCTAAAGAGATGGCTCTGGGCACGTTTCTAGATATTGAAGGAGCTTTCAATAACACCTCCTTCGAGTCGATAAATAGAGCTGCAGAAGGCTTTGGCATAGAGAATACCATTGTCAAATGGATCCGTGTCATGCTGGAAAGCAGAATCATTACAAGCTCGATTTGAACTAC